CGGAGGGACCCCGGATCGTCCCTGCTGAGCTGTGCCTGCGCCGGAGGCTCCCGGCTGGACCCCCGGAGATGCTGCCACCCACATGGGAAGGTTTCGGCTTCTCTTGGGCCTCAGTTTCCCCACTTGTCAACGTGGGGAGAATAAGCCTCCCTTGATGTGTTCAGGCTGGGAACTCTTCGTGGTAGGGAGCCTCAGGGACTGAGTCCAGGCAGTGCCCCCCCCCACGGTACTGGTCCCTATAGTGCCCAGCAGGAAGCCCTCCCCCCCACGGTACCAGTCCCTCTAGTGCCCAGCAGGCAGCCCCTCCCACGGTACCAGTCCTTATAGTGCACACCAGGCAGCCCCCCCCATGGTACCAGTCCCTATAGTGCACACCAGGCAGCGCTCCCCCCCCAGCACGGCACAGGTCCCTATAGCGCCCAGCACAGCAGCACCCCACCCCAACATGGTCCAGGTCCATGCAGCACCCGGCATGCCAGTGCCCCACAGCACAGCCCCCGCTCGGTCTCTGGGTCACCCATCACCCCACCCTGCAGCCACCCCCAATGCTTAGCACCGTGCACTGAGGGGCTGAGAGCTACTGAACCAAACAGCAAACCCCAACATGGTCCAGGTCCATGCAGCACCCGGCATGCCAGTGCCCCACAGCACAGCCCCCGCTCGGTCTCTGGGTCACCCATCACCCCACCCTGCAGCCACCCCCAATGCTTAGCACCGTGCACTGAGGGGCTGAGAGCTACTGAACCAAACTCCAAGCCAGAATGCAAATGCAGCCCCCACGAGATCAGGGCCCGTCGGTGCCCAGAAACACAGTGACTGAGATCATCAGGCCCCGTCGGGCCAGGCGCCCAGACACACAGGGACCGAGATCAGGGCCCCGGCGGGCCGGGCGCCCAGACACACAGTGACCGAGATGAGGGCCCGTCGGGCCGGGCGCCGCCCAGACACACAGTGACCGAGATCAGGGCCCGTCGGGCCGGGTGCTGCCCAGACACACCGTGACCGACATCAT